TTTTCCTGTTTGAAGGCGCTCCACGCACGTGTTTGACATGAGCCAACCAACCAAACGAATAGATCGTCGGGCCCTTACGGTGTGATTCAAGTTGGCCGATGTGTTGTCAAGGTAGAGCTCGATTGGCATAGCAAAGGTCAGCATTAACGGATCAAAACTTATTTATTCTCGCTACTAGGAGTTAATATCTTGAGACGCAGGGCTGTCTTGCAGCTCGCTGTTTGAATACCTGCATATTTGCGTTGATTAGATAATATATTGTAATATGCCTGACGCAGTAGACATTATGACGAGGGCACTTTCCCTTGAATGGTTTTCTGGGTAATGATGTTCTGTATGTATACGTTACCGTGCTATAATAATCTATGTCTACGATAATAAATGATTATCTTTTTGTTGAAAAATCTACCTTCTAATAATTTTGAAAAGCCAACGACGAGACTTCGGTTTTCCGAATACTATTTCTGGAGTTTAAAAATACAGATACACCTCAACAGTGGCATTCATTTGAGGGCAGTCGGATAATATCGGTAGAACAATGTCAGGTAATAATCAACCTATGACTGATCACAGCTTTCAGTAATTATTCTTTTGACAGGCTGAATACAAATTACCAGGGTGCATATTCAATGACGTTCGATGGTCCGACCTTCGACAATTGGTACCAGTGCGCTACACGTCAGACGACGCGCGCACGGTACACTGATGGTTGTTATAGTTAAAAACACGGAGTATGCTTGACATACCTGTAGATGCAATTGTTCTAACGTTTGTGTTTACCAGTAGCTATATATAACATGACATTAAACGCATTCTTATGCCAGGCGGCGAAATTAAAGACCAGCAGTAAATACCGAAGTAGCACACAATGTCAATTTCCTATTTGCATTTACACCGATCTACTTTTATTTTTTTATTGGTTTGTCAAAATATTTATTGCCTATTATGTTTTGTTTATTTAAACATAAAAATGTGTTTAATTTGTCGAGAACACGATTTTTTTGTTTGTTTTTTTGTTCTGTTTTTTTTTTGTTTTTAAATCAGCAACATTATAATGTGTTGATCATTGTACAATCATGTCTATGCCGTTCTGGTTTGATTGATTGATTGGTTGGTTGGTTGAGCTAATACCAAACGTGAATGCTTAATTATTTCATAACATTTCTCGTCATTATATCTTTACGCGCTTGATTGCAATATGTCCGTCCACATCTCGTATTGTTAATATTTCATTTGGGCCACCGTCTCGGATGAATGCCACAACCTGGATTTCAGGGAACTGGCGTATTTTCATTGGCTTCTCGGACCAGGTAGCGAGGAAGAAATATATAATGCAAGCGTCTACGATGTTTTCGAATGATTCCTTTCTTCCCATAATCCCTTAATGCGCGCGCCATCTTTTGGTAGGTCATCAACTTCCGATTTCCCTTTCTTTGACCCCATTTCTGCGCAATTTCTTCTTTGTTTGCGGACTCAAATTTGAATACACCCACTTCCTTATTTACCCAAGTCACGCACTTCGACATCTGGGGGTCATTCAGATTCTCAAGAAGAAATTTCCATAAGATTGGATGACATCGCTTTTCTGCCAGGAAAGAAAAGAAGAAACGAAATATAAAAAACAAACAAAGTAAGCTCACTTACTAGACAAAAATAACTATCGTCTGCTAGACTATTATTATAATGGATGTACCTTTCAATTGTTCGGGGGGTCTAAATTTGGGCGGACGTCCCCGTTTCCGTTTCGGTGGTTGGGTCACTGTACTGCTGCTAGGAGTCTCAGCTTCGTCCTGTGGAGTGGGTTCCAAAAAATCTTCGGGAGACATGTGGCAGAAATTGTAACTTTTCTGATGCATCCGTCCGAACTGCGCATACTCCGTAGCCATTTTAGGCTTAGGAGTCTCAAATGACAGTGTGTGGTTCAGATCGAATGGTTTCGTGTCAACGCTTTGGAAGATGTCATCGTATAATTGGTTCGGTCCAACTGGGTCGAAATTCGTTGACTCGTTTGAAAAAGTTGTAGAATGATTATAATAAGTTTGCTGACAAGTATTGCTGGCGCCTTCTACTGCCATGTTGAATGGAGGAACTGCAAGTGAATGACGTGGATAGGAAATATGTCAAAAAATGCATGCATTCATATTTCATTAATATCAATAATTATTATTAGTTGAATTATTTTGATTATATTGTCACATATTCAAATGGCGTACAAACACATTGCTGGCATCTTCGCGAGTATAAAGCTATTATCTACTACCACGGTGGCAGGTAAGACGTTCGTTACAGTTTTGATTTAGATTTCGTTACAATGTTAATTATAAATTTGTTGTGCCACAGCCCATCTTCTTCAGATTCGTATTCTAGTGTCATCTTTCAAGTTGAAACACAGGGAGCCCAGGAACTATAATCAACTGTAATAAGCAGTTTCTATGAGCGGGGGGGGTATCGGCTGGTATCTAGTGTAAGAAATAGACAAGGGATGAAGGCTCCAGCCAGCTCACATTTTTTAAACTCGAAAAAACAGACGAAAAGAATGAAAAATAAAATATAAAAAAAATACCAGGTTGTAGAATATTAGTTGCTTCTTCAAATTTTGCCAAAGCCCTACCTACATTTTACCGATATCTGCAGAATAAATCAAGAAAACTACACAAATTTACTCCATTTAGGAATTCCTAACGGTTTGCCCGAACGCATGGCACAGTTGGAGGCGTGGCCTGTTCAGCATTTGTCAACAACCAATCGCAAGACTGGTTACGAACCACATCGAGGTCACGACCAGGTTAGCCTTGCTCAACTGGTTCGTAACCAGTCTTGTGACTGTGACTTGCTTT